GAAATAAATAAAATATGAAAACTTCAAAGATACAGGATAATCAATTTTTACACGAACAATTTAACATACATTGAGAAGAAGAGACAGCCAGTGTCCGACAGCTGCAGAAGCAGCTTGTGATTGTAGAAATGCAAGTAAACATTCATCTGGTTCTGAATCGTACTTTGAAGATCTACTGAGAGGATCTTTTAAGTCTCTGTTTTCTAAAAGCATAGGCATGCCAAAGACTTGTTTACATGCACAGGACTCATCAGAGCATGGAAGTAAATTCAAAAGCATTGCCCTGAAACACTTAATAATTCCTTCACGAAACTCTTCTGACGCATCAGATGGAGAAAGCAAAGCCCCATAAGTCAATTTTTTCAGCACTACAACCATCTGCAAAAGGACATTATTGCACTTCAAATGAAAAGACCAGGTTCAAAAGGTGATGCAAGTATAACGTACCAGTTCTAGGACAACAATTCACATGAACAAATGCATTCATACAACATATAAGCCAATTTTGAACTCATAGCAAAACCATACCATTTTTTTTATAGGAAATATAACATTTTATTAAGCGTGAGGAGGCACAGAATAAGACACACAATGTCTCCATCCATGCAATGCAAAGAATACAAATAAGCTAATTGCAGGAGGGGAACTTTACAATTAATTCTCCATCTTTTCTACACGTCCCAATTTGAAGGTTTAAAACATTGACATATTACAAATGTAATGTTACTTATAAGCAAACCCAATCAAACAGATCAAAGGGATATAATGTTGGATCATGTAATATTATTCATCTTGACAAGAAATTATCTACATGATAAAATATGTATCACAAGGGCTATAGCTCAGTTAGGTATAGCACCTTGTTTACACACACACCAATATTTTTCAGAGTCCATCAGTACATGGATTTATTTTGGATGAAGAATAGCAACAATCATCCTATTAAAATTTGTCTAAGTAATTAGTAAATCTACATGTACGTAATGTGGAACAGGTCCAAGCAATTGTCAGTCAAAACGGATTACCTGATCTGCAGATCCTAAAAGACACTTCTTGAGAAGTTCCTCCAGGCACTGAAGCACACCTTCAGCAACACTATCACTCACTTTTTGGGGCTTTTTTGAGACATTAGAGCTCACAACTTTTTCTTTGGAACCAAGCTTCTTTGAGGTTCTACAGTCGACAGCCGCATCCAATATAAGCAGCAAGGGAAACAACGTATAGCTGAAAGGTAAACAAAGATGTCAAGAAAATAATGCTTACTAATGTATACATAATTATACACACACATTTTGAATTCTTTTACAAGTTTGTATGACAAGTATAAGTGATGAAACCATGTTTCCTCAGGTGTGGATCACCAGGAACGAGATTCATTATGAAATTGAACAATGAGACATGAAGTCCATTAGTGACAAAGTGAAGATTTTGCTCCTCCACCACCCAGATCATATCATATCAATATAGCACTCAACTAAATTAAAAAACAATTTGAATAAGAATGACGTAATTTGTGCCCTCTAACCAATGAGTATAGCTCGGATAGGCTGAGATAAAGTTATGTGCAACTGGGGCGAGGAATTTGGTTTCCTACAATACACAGCAACCAAATTCCGTCAACTCCATTAACTCACCCAACCTTCGAACATTGTACCAATCACTAAAACTTAAAACCAAACACATTTAGGCTTTAATTTCAAATTATTAAGGCAACAAACTCGATCAAGTTACGGATGATTCATCCAACAGTCAAAAGCTCACCTCACCGTTATATACTTATGCATACAAGTATATAAAGACTAAAACGTGCACATTGAAGCAGATATATATACAAACATGTATATATATTTATAAACACGTAGATACATCTTTTAGAAAGCTTTCTGCTCATGATGGCATTTAAGCATAGAAAGGCTGCAAATTTCAGGCAAAGAAGCAAAATTTTCACAGAGGAGTACAGTGCTTACTCGAAGAAGGGCTGGAGAGCGTGAGAGGGAGACTGGCGAAGGAAATGAAGCAAAGAAGAGAGAGCAGAGGAATGCTTCTTAGGGTTTTGGAGAAGCTCCAGAAGCTCAAAGCAGTAGACTTTTAGCTGAGTAAACACTCTGCTTCTTTCTTCTTCCGCTGGGCCGACGATTTCATCGATTTCCACCATTGCAGACTGCAGAGAGACGACAACGGGGACTTGAGAACCGCGAAATTGAAAGACGGCTTCTAGGAGTTCCTATTTTTTGGCAAAAATAACCAAAACGGGTTAACGTCCGGTTCAAGTTTTCCCGGGCCGTTAAACCCGACCCATTGGAGGCCCCGGAACCTATCCAATTATTCTTAACCCTGGGCTCAGCAAGGATCCATCTCGACCTCGTGTTGGGCCTTGTGGGCTGCCACGTGTCTAGGCTTTTTTCTGTTTAATGAAATTTGTTATTAGAATTTTTCTACGCAACAACAAAATCACTTTGAATGATAAAACAAGTTCACAAGAAAAGTGAACAATTGTATTTTACTAATTGGGTTTTATATTGAAATGGGTGATCTTGCTTCATTTTATCCGCTAATTTGCTCCATATATTTTACAGATTTTCCGATTTCTTGTATTTAACTTGATTCTTTCATGTTTCAATGTCTCGTTTTTAACCGATTTTTTTCTTATTGACTTTATGGTACAATTAAAGGTCAACATATTTGAAATGCAACAACTACCACGTATTGAATCAACGTATCATCATATTGTATCTCATTTCTTCAATGATTTCCCAAAGTTCTTACAATCCCACACGAATGGATTGACTAACTAAAGCCGACCACAGATCATGTTTGGATCATATGTATAATGATTGTAGTGGATTATAGTACATTAACTTCGACATATGACCGCCTCTTTCTTCTTGCAGAGACCCCCAAAAAAAAAATTAGTTTTCGCCGAATAGTAATTCAGTATTGAATTCAAAGGTTATGAAAGCCAAGTTAAAGACCACGTATATGGTCAAATACATTGTACCTTTCACATGGCAGAAAAAGAGGACCATCTGCTTAATTAATAATTAGTATGTTTATAAATTAATTATCTAGTTAATTATACGTGAAAGGGTTTAAGTGGTTATCTTGCTTTCTTTTTCTTTTGTTTTTTACATATTTTTTTGACTAAGGTAAATTTGAACTCGGTGGTTTGGCTTTGACTATACTGTCCAAGTTATGTTTGCCCTAAATTCCTGGGATGAGTTGGGACATGAAAGAAAAATGTTACACTAATGGGAGTAAGTGGAGATTATCACCTACCCACTAAGTAAATTAGTCATCAATTAGATGATGATTAATGTGTGAAACAAAAGAAAAAATAAATAAATAAATGATTAACTTGTGCTTTTTGTTGAATCTACAAACTTGAATTCAATTAGACAATAGAATTAGAAAATTAAGAAGAAGAAAAAATATCTATTTAATGTCAATATCTTGACTAGAAAAAGGGTTTGTTCAACCTACACAACGGTGTTTATATTATATAAGACAATTTCTTTTTGGCGACAAGTGATGGCTCTTAGAAATATTAAAAATAAATCTAGGAAATGTTATGGAGATCACTTTATATATCATATGGGATCTACGTCTATTAGAAATAGTACACAATGCGGTACATAAATGTACCTTCAATCCCATTTGCGGATTTGGCCAAACATACAAATACCAGCATGTTTACCACACATTTAATAACAATATTATTCTCCATGATAAATAGAGAAAATCTCTAGCAATAAAATCTATTTTTTTTCCCAATGTAAGAAAGTACTTGTTCGTTGAACCAAGCTAAGCTATTTAATGCAGTCAAACCATGAGGTAAAATGACACATGAGGTAGGTATTGGCATAACCAATTCATGCATGTGTGAGATAAATGGCCATAAAGATTACATGGAAACAAGTTGGTAACATATTTTATTAAATGTGATATCCATTTAATTAATACATAAGTGCTTTTTTTTTTGGGAGTACATAAGTGCAGTTTAAAATTAGTTTCGAAATATGCTACAGTTAGTCATACGATTCATATCTATGTAAAAATTAGAGAACATTACTTTGCTCTCCAATAAAATGGAAAAAAAATTGGTTACATTTTATTATATGTGATATCTATTAAGTTAAAGGAAAATAATTCATGTGTAAGTGCACTTAAAAACAAGTTTCGAGATATGTTACGGTGCGTCTCACGATTTATGTCAATTCATGCATACGAGATTCATAATGCATCTCACGATTTATGTCAATTCATGCATGCGAGATTCATAATGCATCGACAGTTGGATTACGCCTATTCATAAATGACTCATCATTTCATATACATTACATCATGTAACTTTATTACACTATTTGGATGTAGCCGACACTTTTGTTTGTGTTTTTTAGCGAGTTTAGCATGCTCTGTCAATGGAGATGTTAACATGACCTGAATTATACGTCATTTTCCGAGTAAAACAATGCATTAAATTGAAAATGGTCACATTCACTAGTTTGGTAAGATATCCTTCAAATGATATGATTGACTAGGCTACCTAGCACAATTAACATACCTCTCAGCCTTTTTTGTTTTTTTCGGTATGTCACATCCTTTTCACGGTCAACTTGAGGTTCAATTGCTTTTATTGGTTGCCTGTCTTCTTTTACTGAAATTTCATATAAAGCTCAAATCAAAGAGGTCGATTGCCTTGATTGATTCTAGGAGGATGCGAATTTGCTACCCAGCTACTTTGTCAAGCTTACATTGTTCTTTGAAGTTATTATATTGTCAAAATAAATCGCTGTAAGTGGGGACAATCACCCACCCACTCGAAGATGTTGGGCAATCATCCCATGAAAAAATGAGGATTTTTTATTTATAATTTTTTCTCTCAGAACACGTATATGTAACGATATAATGACGACACTTACGCATATATAATTAGAAAATATTATAGTAACCAAGCGAATAATTATTCACGAAAAATGATATGTTTGTTCAACCTACACTGTGTTATAAGATAAATCAGGAAAATCATCTAAAAAATTCCCATCAAAACATAAGCAAAACCCTATTTGAAATTTTGATCTGTAGTTAGGAGGACTCAACTAAGTATCAGTAACATGACTAAATTAAATGGAGGAATTGTTGTGTGGCAAAAAAGGCCACATTTGAAAGTAATCCAAGCTCTGGTCAAACTCCGCAGCAGGGTTTGGCATTTTGTCACACAGAAAGGTCTCTGGGAGTAATTGTCCAGTTGTGACCTGTGCTAAAAACTCCTGGCCAGTACAATCTGCAGTTGGCTGATCCAGTCCAAGCTCACTTTCCAAGTAACTAAGCCACTTCTCATTTTCATGTTGTCCATAGTTTGAACTCTTGCAAGCCTCAGCCTGATTTAATTGGACTTCATTTGACTGCAATGGCACAAACCCATCAAACGTGTTCCAAAAGTCAGAGTCAGGCTCCAATGGAATATCATAATTAGGTTCTGAAAAGTCAAACAGAAAATCCATTTGCTCTTCTGATGGCCTTGAAATATCAAGTTGGCTGGAACTTGAGCCATTTGATTCAATGGAGGAAACAGAAGAGCTGGTCAACTCTTTCAAGTCCTTGGGATCAGGCCTAAATTGATTTATTAATTCCATTGGAGAATCCAGATCAAGTTCCTCTGGAATTGTCAAAATGCATGGATCATGATGAGGGTTGTTGTTGGCCATGCTAGTTTCTTGGTCAGCTGATTGATGCTCAAGCTCTCCTGCAACACTTGGTTTTCCACCAGACAAAAATGAAGCACTAGAGGAAGATGATGAGGAAGAGGAGGTTATAGAAGATAACTCCTTTGATTCATCTCCACAAAATTCAGAGTTCTTGAAACCCAATTTTTTCTTCAGATGAGTGTTCCACACATTCTTAATCTCATTATCTGTTCTTCCTGGAAACTGGGAGGCAATTTTGGACCACCTGCACAATATAAATTAAATATTTTTAATCGACGTGATAGAATTCGATCTTGGGATATCTTCCAATATTGGTAACAAATAGCATTAACCCGTGTATAAGTAAGTGATTAAACTAACTTACTAATTACATTTTTTAAGATTTATTAGAACCTTACTTGTTTCCCCAGGCTTCATGCAGCCTAATTATGGAGTCCTCTTCCTCTCTAGTGAAGTTCCCTCGCTTGAGATCAGGCCTGAGGTAATTAATCCATCTCAGACGGCAACTTTTCCCACATCTCAGCAAACCTTCAAAACATAAAAAGTATTGTTTTTAATGATTATTCAAATATTAAGTACATATATTTAATGTTGGTGGGAAAGAAAAAGAGGAGAAAGGGACATTCATCTAGTAGCCATGCAAAGACTTTGAGGAAATCTGATGTGACTGTAAATCGCTAGGCACTTGTTCTCAATTCCTAACTTGACATTTCTTGGTAATTGGTAAGATTTTCCAACCACACCATAAACCCATATGTGACAATTTTTTATAAGTTAGGAAACCTCTCCCTATCATGACAATTCAACATTAGGACCAACGCTTACCATACTAAGTATGCACTCACAATTTATCATAAGTATGCGAGAATTTTTCACTCGTCATCGTAACACCGTTACATACCTTATGGGGTATTAGTATTACTAACTAATTTATCGTAAGTAAAATTTGAAAGAAATTCATAATTTTTCAAGAAGATAAGTTAGGTCAGAGGGAAAGTTTGTTTATTAGTATTTTCGTAAAATTAGGTACATTGAAATACATGAAAATTTGATAAATTCGAATAGAATTCTCCAAAGCTGGCATGGTCATCACAAGTTAGGGAGATATGCAATACCAACTATTAGTTGTTTAAATATGGTAATCACTAATTTTGTATCCCTTTCCACCAAAAACAAAAAGTTATATCCGTAATAAAAGTTGTATTTAAAGGTGGAATAAACAGGAAAAACACGTTAAAAACGTTTCAAACTTGCCTTGTTTTCTGCTTTTTAGGCAACTAGAAAAATCCAAGTCAACCCAATGTCTAAAATGTGGCATCCGGTCATTTTATGCCATAGGAGTAAAAGCAAATTAAGTAACGCCAAACTCATTGTTCTAAATTCAAAATTTGGGAATTGTTTAGAAAATGTAATGCTTGAAAAGGAGAGTGCTAAAATTGAAACTTTGAGCTGACGTAAGATGAGTACTCTACCATTAAAACTAAACTTGATACCATCGTTATCATTCAAAAGTAAGAAACCCCAGCTAAAATATAAGCAAGAATGCAATGCATATGGAAAAAATAAACAAAATTGAAGGGAATGCCATCTTAAGTTGTAAACAGATGATTAACAAAAGGAATTGGGGATCATTGTTATGAAAGGGACGTTCAATGAGATTCCAAAATTACGGGGTCCACATATGAAATGAATGAATTGATATTCAATTCTTCTGGGAATTCTTTATCAAGAATTTGAAAACTTGTTATGAACACCATGTGATTTTCTTATCCATGGCATATCTATGACCATCATCATATCACCAATGAGAGAGAGAGAGAGAGAGAGAGAGAGAGAGAGAGAGAAATCAGAGAGATCAGAGAAATTAGAGAGAGAAAAACACAATAATTGATTAAGATTATTATTACCTGCTTGCTTAGGGAGAGCCCTCCAGTTATCATGGCCATTCTTCTGAATGAAAGTTATAAGCCTCAAGTCCTCAGCAGGGCTCCAAGGACCTCTCTTCACTTTGTTCTTATCACAACATGGTGTTCTTCCCTTCCCCATCTCTCTTTCTCTTTCTCTCTCTCTAAATGTTTCTCTTAGACTCTCGCACTACTCTGAGCTCGCTTATGATGTTTTTTCTTTCTTATGCACATATGAGAAATTCACTTATGTATCACTCTCTTCATCGTATATATAGGGAGGGAGTGATAGTGATAGATGTGTCCAGGAATGTTTATTGGGCAAGGCCACAAGGTTCATGCCTCAGACTCAGAGTGGGAACTCTATGCTGTATAATAAATAGGAGATCCAGGATGATTACTAAATATCTATAATTTTATTCCTTTTTAATTTATTGCTCACTATCTGTTATGTAGTACTGCTACTATCTTGGTAATGCTTAAGCCTAAAATTCTAAGAATATCTCACACTGATGAAAATGTAATCTCAAACAATGATTATATAATAGTTAATTAATTTACTGTATTCACACATAGCAATCCACTTCAGCCTAAAAAACATCATTTTCCACAATTATAATCAAATATCCAAGACTTTTGGGTGCTTTTTGATTTTGAGTTGAAACTTTTACCGTATACAACGTATAATCTCTTTAATATAGATAAAACTAATAAAAATAAAATCATCTCTCTAATACAGGTAAAACCTATCGATGTGAGATTCACTACGAGAGTGTTCTCACCTTTATAATTAAGAAGATAATATGTTTGAGGGTCAGTTAAGATAGTGTAAATAGTTTTCTTTGATGTTAGGCTTGTGCTGCCTTTTTACCTCAATAAATTGAAATTTATTATTGTGGCCCTTTTGGTATAATCCAGATTCTAGACTGTAGGATATTTTTCCATTTCGAGTAATAAAAAATAAATAGCATATCCTACTGGGCCAATGGTACACATGGCAAGTTAATAATTTCCAAAATAAATAGCATAAGTTTTTTTTTTCCTTTGGACAAAATATACCCAATATTATACCATGTCTTTGTAGAGCAAATGATGTGACACCCAAAAGATTTTAGATATTTAACATTTTGCATGAGAATATCACAAACTGTTTTCTTCTTTGCTCCACATCGGCTGGATGGGATTCTCTGCTCAATATATATATATATATATATCATGTTTTTGTCTTCTTCTTTCTTTCTATTTTTTGTATGTGTAGCATTTGATTTGATGAGCAATGTAGGCTCTCCATTTTATTCAAAAAATCATGAGATTTTAGAAAGAAAAAAAAAGTTCCTTCATTAGAAGCAAAACTCATGCATGCATGGTTGATGGTTCGTTCTCATTTCATCTGTTTGAGAGGGAGAAAAACTACATGTAACAGGGATGTCATCGTGGTCATATTCCAAACCTATCATGTATCATGTCGGAAAATTATATTGTCATGTTGGAAAAATAAAATGCATAACAATAAATTATTAGTTTAAAATAGCGCCACAGTGGTATCTCTGGTATAGGTAAGTTTTTTTAATTTAAGAGGGCATGAAGGCCTCTTGTCAATTAAGATGTGAACTCAAGACCTAGATTCCACTATGCCAGATGTCATCTCTAACTTAACAGTCATCACACGCAAGTCAGCCATCGATTTGAATTAAGTTTGGATTCAGACAACATCTGGAAGGGAAATTTTGGCACCAATCAGCTTTTCCAAGTGTAGGTATAAGACCTGCCCAATTTGCTTTCATGTTTGACTAGTTCGTTTTATTGCATATGCTACAGTGCTATGCTCGTTTTTAAATCAAGTCGTGTAATGAAGCAAAGAACTTTGTATGAAAGTCTTACAACTTTACGCAATGTAACTCACCAAATTTTACCCGTAACTTGAAAATTAAAGTCATCACCATCATTTTATCAATTTAAAAGGACGACTTAAGTACATTATCTTACAATATCAAGAGAGGTTCAAGCTTTTGAAGCACATCGGTGCTAGAAAATTAAAATGGTCACGTTAAAAGCAGTTGAAAAATGAAACGTATCGTGACATATCATATGTTTACTTGTTTGGAATGAATGAAGTTATAAGTAGGAAAAGTCATGAATAAGTGAGAGAATAAATGGGTATGGGATCTGCGAATGCATGGGAAGTCATGAATTGAAATAATTTCAATACGCATGCTAGTAAACGCAAGAAAAGTCAGAAACATAAACAATTCAAATGCCAATTCCATATTATCAAACATGTGTCGGTTATACGTAAATAAGCACCATACATAATTAATTTGTAGGAATACATGCAATACGAGTTCGAGCACAAAAAAATTATTTGTAAAACATTTACTGATCATATTTCTTCCGTAACTGAAATTATCAATTAAAAATGGCAAAAAATTTGACCAAGTCCCATCAAGTCACAAAACTATGTACTTCCCTCGTGTCAATCAAATGACCTACTCCCTTGTTTGATTAATCTACCAAATTTTATCATATACAATACAGCAAGTGGAGTTAAGCACTGTGTGCATATGATCATGAAACGCCATGGTGACAAAACCTTGGCATATATATATGATTAGGTCACCCGCCCAAGTTTAGTGCCTTTGAATATAGTATTTAAATAAATTGACAGGTGATATTTTAATATAATTTCTTATGCCAAAACCCTGCCCCATGCAATCTACATTGAGCGGTCTAAGAAAGTCTAACCATTTGAAAAAGACCCTAAAATAACATTAAATATTAACTCTTTAAGTCTCTTGTTAGGGAAACTAACATTATATGGCTTTTACCATTTGGTACCTAATATTGACATCTTTCTGTTTGGTTAGTAGAATCTACTAACCACTAAGACTTTTTATGACTATGACATGGACAAGTAGTCAGAGGGAGAGAGAGGGAGAGAGGGAGGAGGGAGAGGAGAGAGAGAGAATAATATTATAATTTGCATGACGTGTAGCTTATGTGGGAAAAGAGTAAGCGCCATGTGGCATGCCCTTAATAAATCTATGTGAGTTTTTTAAGTGAGCTTGAAATTTGGGGGCTGAAATTTGTTATAAGAGTTTGTGTCTGAAAAGAGTTCAGAATTTGACAAATGTCAAAACCCTATTTGTCTTTTACAAAAATAATCTATGTCACACTCACTTTGGTCATTTTAGTTCAGAATGGGAGACTTAATATAGCATGCCGTTTATTTTTCAAATGAAGTGACTAAAACATTCTTGAGTTGGGTGGGATGTATTGTTGACATTGGTACATCGTCACTCAAAATAAATTCATTATAATCTACATTATCCATTCAAAAGTGGATTAATTAAACTTAAGTGTGACATACGTTTAAGAGAAGTCAGACAATTGTATATATGTTCATCATTGTTCAAAGGGGGCAGCATGGTGCATGGCCTAATGTAATTCCTGATTTTTCATTGTAAATTGTAGCGGAAAAATTTGAAATTTATAGACAAATAAACCGTATACTTTCACACACAAAAATCAAGTACTCTGAATATTTTTGTTACAAGACAAGGCTTTCATTTCATGGTTCAGTTACAAAACGAACTCGTATTTTAGTATAAACTTATGAAAATACCTTATTCGTCGAGTCATCATAGCTCATTCAGTGATACGTACATTTAGCCCATTAAACAATATACTATCACTTTGAATTTTTCATACACAATTTGATTGGTCATTGGTCATTGACCGTAGAAAAATAATAATGGCTCACTAAAATCCTAATTAATTTGAGGCCACTATAAATTGCCAAAAAGATGGAGAAGGCTTTTATTTAATAAAAAAAAATTAAAGAATATATATTATTAGTACCATGTTGTAGATAACGCTCTATATATATTTATCAAACCCATAAACATATATTTAAAATTTACATCACTCTTCCTTAATTTTTTTTTTTTAATTTTTTATCAACAGTTTTAAGTACTATAATTGTCATCCTTCGTCTTCATTCCTAATTAAATCGAGAGCATTATTATTCAAGAACTATAAATGACAAGAAAACTGGAGATGAATATAAAATTATGTTGTAGAAAATACCTTTTGGATTTCAGTTTGCCAATGAATTTGGACATAATTAAATGGAATATGGTAAGATTAATGTGGGCATATACCAAAAAAGAAAACAATATGAGTATATAGGGTACATCGTTTTATATGGTAATTTGCATAACAATGCATTGTCTTTTTTGGATATTAGTTGTGGAACCAACCGCATGTAATGCATATGTATATAATTTACATAGATAGTAAATGAAAATGAGTGGAAAACACAAGATTCAAAGTATTTTCTTTCATTGCAATGGGTTTCCAAAATCATGGAGATTCAAATAATTTTCTTTCCAACCGTTGGAGGAGTTAGTTAGAACAGAACCAATGACCTTTTTTTTTTCCTTTTTCATTTCAATGAAATATTATTTTGTGAGACATTTTATATTCTTTCAAAAAATTTGTTTTTCAGTACAAGTAATTTGGGGAGGACGGTTTACATAAATATTTATTGGGTGTCTGTGGGTTTCGAACCTTTCCTTATATGGGTGGATGTGGAAGAGCTCAACCAACTGAAATATACCTCAATTGACTTTCTTTTTTTCTTTTTTTGTTGTTGTTGTTGTTGTTGTTGAGAGAAAAGCAAAAATTGTATTCATAAATTAGTCCCAAAGACTAGGGACGGACTTATGCCATGTACAACCTGGGCTATAGCCCAGGTTGGTTTTTTTCTCTTTTCTTATAGTTAGTGTTAATGTTTAAGCATATATAATGAAAAGTTGCTGGCATTGTTGGTGTTAAATAGGCCTTTTAAACAAATAAAATAAAAATGATATGTTCTCAAATTAAATTTATATATATTTATGATCAATTCCATATGCCTCCCTTAAGGGTTTTGTCGAGCCTAAAATCTAACAGTCCAGTAAGGTAAATATTGTCACGACCCGACTCTCCTAGCACAATATTGTCCGCTTTGGGCCCCCCTCTCTGCCCTCACGGTTTTGTTTCTGGGAGCTCACGAGCAACTTCCCAGTGGGTCACCCATCCTGGGATTGCTCTAGCCCCTAACTCGCTTAACTTCGAAGTTCCTAAGAATCCGAAGCCAGTGAGCTCCCAAAAGGCCTCGTGCTAGGAAGAGAAGTGCCCACACATTTAAGCGCTTCACCTTTCCCTCCCCGAGCGATGTGGGATTGCTCACCGTTCTTGTTTCCCCAAGACACGGGTCTTACAAATATAGCCCTCCTCATTTTGAAATGTTGGTCCGTCCCTGCCAAAGACCATCATCCACAAGGGCAAATACAAATGCCCATAAAGGGGAAATTCAAATATAAAAGCATAGTCACCACATAGGGTTAATTCAAATACAGGCCACAAAATACCAAAGAAATTTCGGGATAAAAGCCGCATGCTTGAACAAACAAGACATGAACACAACATCCAAATCTACCAATACAACTACAACTTTTAACTCTCACAAGTACAAAATACAAGTAGAGACTAGAAAACAATCAAACACCCAACTCAAAAGGAGTTAATGCAATTATTACAAGATAAGAAAATTGCAAACGAACAACCAAAAACCAACAAAGCCACTAGCGCCGTTATTGCCACCACCACCACAAACGTCGTCGTCGTCTTGGAGACAGAGAACACCACCGAGATTGCAGCCAGTCACTTTACAACTAAAACATCAACCAACAAAATCACAAATTCAAGCATATCTAGAAACAAGTAACCTCCCCACAATTAAAATCCCAAATTCAGTAGATGGGGAAATGGAAAATAAGTGGGGAGGTAAAGAAAAGAGAAAGAAAGATAGAGGAGAAGAGTGACCTCCTTCCCCCACCCCGAAACACGGCAAAAGAGGTTTGAGAGATAGAAGGGAGGCTAGGGTTTAGAGAGACCACTCAACGCTAACTTGTTAATTTGATTTTAATGGATCGTGGGTTCGATTCGATCCCTCCATTGTAATAAAAACTTGGAGATATACTAAACATAACTCTCGGTTCAATATATCCATTGGCTTATATTCTTTGATTCTTATCATTAGATAAATATATCAAAAACACATTCGAGGTAATGCGCCAGAGTTCAACATGGTGACAATCTTTGAGTATAAAAAGTTTAAACTTTGAAGACGTCAATAGAAGAAAGAAACCACAGAGCCGGACGATTGAAGTCAGAACAGATGAATCTGAGCTTGATTATATTTGACCTTTTAACTTTTTGGGCCTCTTTACACTCACAAACATATCTTTTTGGGCTTTTCTAATATTTTCCACAAATACAAATAAAATATTTTTAGGCCCTCCCCGGATTTGAAACCATCGCCCATTGGGCCTATGCTCGAAAGGTAGCTCTGAGCTTGAAACTGATTAATATACTTAAAGATTGCCACCCCTTAGAGCAAGCACCAGATGAAGGACAGAGCCACCTTCAATGTTGTAGTCCTTAGCTGTTTTGTCATCTCCAAGCTGCTTCCCAGCATAAATAAGCCTACAAAAAGAGTTGTGAAGCCAACAAGATCTTTGCCACACGTAAATGAAATGACGACAGACAACAATCACTTGAACTTGGACACCGGCGTAGAATGGCTGGTCAGAAATTACTTTTGAGTTCTCAATTGTTTAGTTAATTTATCATATGTTATTGTTGTTACATTGAATATAAAGAAGCATACCTTTGTTGCACAGGGGGGATTCCCTCTTTCTCCTCAACCCTTTCCTTGATCCGGTCAATGGTATCATTTGGTTCAATGTCAATCTCAATTTCTTTCCCAGTAAGAGTCTTCACCTTAATCATAGTTCCTCCCCTCAGCCTCAAAACCAAGTGAAGCGTTGACTCCTTTTGGATGTTATAATCTGCAAGAGTTCGACCATCTTCCAATTGCTTACCAGCAAAAATCAATCTTTGTTGGTCAGGAGGGATGCCTTCCTTATCCTGAACACAAACATATATGTGTTATCATGCAATCCCAAACAACAAAAAGAACTCCCCTGGATGAATAAAAATAAAGGGAATGTAAGAAAAATCGCTCAAAAAAACTACATGTTAAGGAGCAAACGATCATCTTAATCTAATCATAACTCACCAAAAAAATTTCTACTAATCTTTCTTGATGATTAATATATTTTCTCCTATAAATGCTATGTGCCTGTTCTAGTCATGATGTTTTTTCTTTTATATACACAATGGACATTCAGATACCAAAGACATTAGACCCCTAACCCCTAAACTAAACAATAAGAACTCCTCAAGCAATTGGATGGAAGCAAGGCCATTGATTGCCAGTCTGCCACTTCAAATAGGGTATCTCTTACTTTCCCTAAACCACTGACAGAATAGGCTAGCTATACATACATAGCAAAAATTTGATTTTGAAATTTCGGTATCAACAGGAACCCTAAAATAATAATGCCCACAACACAAACTAATTCCTTCTCCATTCTGAATATAAGCTCAAGTTGCTAACACCATATGAACCTATAGTAAAAAGAAAATATCAAAACAGAAACCCTGCATCTATAAGTCACTCTTAATCGCACTAAATCTTTTCTATTTCACTTGTTAAAAATAAAAATAAAAATAAAACTCAATTTTAAACGATAAATATCTTAGACAATCACAATTGGAATTCAGTGAACCAAAGATTGAATGTGTATCAAACGCAAATTACAACCTTCAATGTCAAATACAACGGAACCTTGTTCCAACTATTTGGGTCGGCTACATGAACCATGGTCCTCCATTCCATCTTATCCTAAGGCCTTTTCATGTAAGTCGCATGCTATCGTATATTTTCTTTAATCGCCTCTACTCTACCCATGTTACGTCTTCCTCTTCCACTAGCATTAATCGGTGCATCTGTTGGTGGTAACTGAACATATCCAAATCACCATACACAACTCTCTCTCCCTTTTCCAGCTAGTGCTAGTTTAACATTTTGACTCCTATCCTTGCCTTCTCATACATCCATCCTATCTTCCACACTCATTATATGAACATATTATTTTTTAACTGCTCAATATTTTATCCCACATAGCATGGTTAGTCTGATAGTTTTCCTACAAAACCTACCTTTCAATTCTACAGGTATATGATGATCACATAATATGCTCGACACACTCCTCCATTTCACACATCATGCTTTGGTTATAGGAGCCACGTCAGTTCCAATCAATCCCTCTCTATGAACAATTGAGCCTGGATAGAAAAACTCTTCACCTTTTCGTAGTCTCCTAACCATCAATTTTCACCGCCTCCCTGCTTGTGGTTCTTCATTTTTCTTCCATATATTGAATCCTAGATCTACTTGTCTTAAAAAGTTTTGATTGTATAACTTATCTCCACAACTCTAATGTAGCATTTACTCCTCTAGTCTATAAATTAACACATTATCATCATACACCAAGAAAATTCAATGTGTCTTGTCACAAGACCAAAAGATAAGCACCTGGCACTGATCCCTATCAAAGAAGAACCTAAATCACTATATTCAAAATCAAATTTTCAGTCTTTTTTTCTCTCCAACCAAAAACATTTAAATACTAAACATATCTTCATCAGCAAGATCACAATCAATCATCCTTATTTTTGTCCTAGTCAAATTTTGTCAGCCACATGAATTGCCATATTTCAAGTTTCTCTAATACAAAGCATCTTCTACAAAATATAATTTCCTTTATATCTTTCCCTGTTACTAAATAAGCCTTCCTTTTGTTATAAGACCATTGAATGGTCTATGATGTATATGCTCTCATAACAACTAAGACTAATAATTCTAATATTAAAGCGAATTACAAAATCCTAATACAGCAACTCAATCTTTCTATAAACTTTAACCATAATTATATTTTGCACAAATCTTTCCACAAATTATAGATTTTCCTCCAACAAAAACAAATAAATAAGATGAAAATCTACAACAAGGAATGAGAAAGAGAAAGAGGAAGAGAGAAACAGTACCTGGATCTTGGCTTTGACATTGTCGATGGTGTCACTGCTCTCAACCTCAAGAGTGATGGTCTTTCCAGTTAGGGTTTTCACGAAAATCTGCATTTTTTTGGTTTCTGTCTGAGAGAGAGTTTTGGCGTATCTAAAACAGCGTGCTGTGGATGACCAGCGTGCTGTTTTTGGTTTCTATTCTACTAATATATTTTATACAAATTTATAAATAAACCCAATCCTAAACATGTATTTATAGAAAAACCCAAACACTATTTAAACATAGAAACACACCCAAAATCAACCCCAAAGTCAACCTTTTGGGTGTGTTTATAAATGATTTTTGAGTGTGTGTAATGATGAGTTTTGGGTGTGTTTATATGTTTAAATAGTGCTTGGGTTTTTTTATAATTTAAGCCCCCATTTTGGGTGTTTTAGTGAAACTCCCTATATTTTAAGGCAATGTTAGTAACTTCTCTCTAAACTTCTCTTTTAAACCTTCCCTATTTTTAGCTTGATATGTGTCATTCTCCTTATACTTAAAACAATGTCATTAATATATTATCCAAACTAACTTTTGCTTTCCAAATTTACCTTTATTAATTGTATTCAATTTATCCAAAAAAAATTCACAACTTTCTTGCCATATTATTATTTTTTAATGACAATTTTTTTATTTAAGAAAATGTCTACTTTAAAAAAAAAAGAGAAAATGTCCATTTTTTTTTTAACGTCAATTTTATTTTTTTATATTTTTATTTTTTTTAAAGGGACATTTCCTCTTTTTAAAAAAAGCAAAAATTTTATTTAAAAAAAAATAATTGACGTTAAAAAAAATTTAAAATGGTAAGAAATTTGTTTGGATAAATTGAATACATTTAATAATTATAAACTTGGAAAGCAAAAGTTAGTTTGTATAATATATTAATGACATTGTTTTAAGTGTAAGGAGAATGACACATGTCAAGTAAAAAATGGAGAAGGTCCAAAGGAGAAGGTTAGAGAGAAGGTTGCTAGCATTCCTCTATATTTTATATATATAATCGACTTTCTCCACCGGTGCCCCTAAATTATTACCCAATTATCATTTTTTTTTTTAAATGTAATCGATAATCTATGATAAGGAGATGAGATTTCTCACACATACATTATCAACATTATGAGGATTTGAACATAAGACCACTGGCTTGCAAGTTAATGCCTTTTTCCACTGGGTTCCTAGAAGGGCTATAATCACTTATGATGAGAAGCAACTCCAACGTTCTTCTTGCTTCTCTTTAAAACCACTTAATGTGATTATATGGAGAAGTGATTAACAAAAATGTGTTGGAATCTCTCTCTACTTACCTCGGTAGTGGGGCTCAAGAAAATGGGCTTGGGTTTTGGTGCCTCCAAGCAGCCCAAAACATCCACCTTTTGAACTCTTAACGGGCATTTTGGACCCTTATACCCATCCACATCACAACATGCTCAACAAGCCCCAATCATTTATGTGGCTTAGGCCCACTTAAACTTGTCTAGTAGTTTGTCACTAAATAGAGGGATTGCTAGGCTTTGCCTATTACTCGCATGATTGTGTTTGTGCTCAAGGTTCGTTGGATTGCAATGGCTTAAAGCCATGTTAGGTCATACTTGTTCAAGTAATAAGCTCGGGTTTATGGAACCGGTGCATTCTTGTGGGCTCGTTGTGACCTCCCCATGTGTATAGTTATATTTTTACGGCATGACACAAGTATCAAAGCTTGTGTAAGCACCTTATAGCCATGTTTGAAGAGTTTCTATATACCCTAAACGAGCCTCCTTTATAATAAGATACTGCATTTGGCTTGAAATACACTTGGGCTCCTCTTAAGATTTTTTGGGCCTCAACACATGGCACCCTCTTGGCATGTATTTTATTTATATTTTAAAAATGGAGTTCATTGGGCCTCAACACATAATTTCATGGCAAAACAACTAGAGGCAGAATATCCTGACTAAGAGCACCTCCACCGTTTATGACTTGCCCAGGTAGGAGGGAGCCCGGGCCAAGTTGCAGCTCCAGGGCAACAAGTCTAGCCCACCCACGGGTTAGGTCCAACGAGCCCAGGCAAGCCCACGGGCAAATTCAGCCTGAGTTGCTGCCTGGGCAAAATGACACAATGCTGACGTCATGATGACGTTAGCATCCCAAAAAAAAAGGCAAAAAAATACCAAAAATTCCAAAATTATTTATTTATTTACTTTCCACATCAAAAACTTTATACAAATTTATCTCATCATATCTCATTTGAATAGTAATTGCCCTTGCCCTTTGAGGTGGAAACAAAAAGGCAAGGGTTGCCACTATTCATGTAAATAATAACAAATCTTGCCATTACCTTTTGGAGTGGAGGTGCTCTAAACGTCATGAATCCGTCATCCAACTGGTCTTTTGCAATATTAATTGTAGCATTGAAATGCATATTAAATAAGGTACCTTCCTTAGCCTAAATGCATCGACAAAGATAAATGCCTTCTTCTTTTTTTCTTATACTTTTAGGCTATAAATATTTTCTTCAAATGCAAAAACTCAAAAGTATTCAATTCAATTGTGTACCTCTTATCTTCCTGCACGCAAGGCTCATTACTACATGGCCTCTTTCGTTATTATCATGTCCGTACAAAGTTTGACAATTTCTTTATTATAATGTTAGGTTATCAAATTAAAACAAATGGTACTCTAAATTTATTTCAAGCCTATCATCTATTTAAAATATAATTATATATATAATTAAAAACAAGCTTGGTACATAACGAACTCTGCATGCACCTAGCTAAGCATTAGATATTTATGAAGTAACAAGCATAAATAAATACACTGAAATTAGTTTAATATTTTCTAGTATTTTTTATAAAGGATTAAATTATATATTAAAAAAATGAATTTTATACTATTACATTTCAACAAAGGATTTATGGCCAACACATGATATTTAACATAATATTATTCAACTTCTCAAGTAAAAAGGGACAAAAAAGAAGTTATGCCTAGTTGACGTAGAAAAAACGTATATGAAACAGGGATAGCACTGTTTTGCTATTTCCGACCAATCATATTCTATCAAGTGAAAAAGTTATCACGCGTGACATAGCGTGATTGGTCAGGAATAACAAAATAGTGATATCCCCGTTGCACATAAGTGTTTCTCCAATTAAACAGGCCAATATATATCTACCAATATTTCTTTGCATTTAATGCCATCATAACTTGCATGCCCTCTATTCTTTGAATTCTCCCCTAACTCATTAAATAAGTGAGCATTTAATGAAACAATCAACCTGTAGCTAATCACACTTAATTACAAGCCTAGAACTTATCAACCAACTAATATCCATCCACAACTTAATTACAGGTCATGATCAACACAACACCATCAAGCCCAAAAACTCAGAAGCTTCGTGGTTCGAAGATATCGTATGTATGGCCACAAGGAAATCAGCAGTTGGGACTATAAGAAATGAGATTACAGTTCCCCTTTTAATCTCGGCTATTCATGTATGTGAATTTCATTCGCGTCACTCGCTCATTAATAAACGGTTGAGATTTGTTTGCATGTGTGACGACCCTAGTTAGACTCTCTTCACTCTGCATACATGCACCTTCAAGCTTCCATCTTGAATCTTTCTAATTAAATTTAATAAATGATTATGGCCTTTTTCAATAAAGGGTTCATCTTTAATACTTGTGCGACTTTATTTATCTGCCTAAAAAGTATATAGTAATAATATCCTCATAATATAAATACAAACCCAATGCTAAATACTATGGAATATAAATTAATTAATTAAATCAATACACTATGAAATGAACCTTTCGAATTGATGCTAGCTGCTACATGCATGCAATCCTCTCTGTAACCAATTCAATGTTCATTTAATTTTCATTGACATCGTTCATAAAATATGAGATTAATGCTTATACGGCACCTATTAAGAGTCGTTAATTCCATATTAATACTAATAAATGAAGCACATAACAACCTTTTTCGTATCAATCTATGTTATATTTTCTACTCTTTAAAAAATACTCTTTTTTTCTAATATATATATATATATATATATAAATATTAAAGAAGCAGGACCAATTCAAAAAGTTCACTATAGCTGACGGGTATAGCTCAATAGAAAATGACATTGACTTGTACACCAGTGATTTCACATTCGAACTTCAATGGCACCCTTATAGTGCGTGTGTGAAAAACCTCATTCCCCTTTATAATTTAGAGTATCAGTTGTATTTAAAAATAAATAAAAAATATTCAACTATACATGAACTAGGCCAAGCTGATATGTCTCACCTAGGATGCTTAGTTGAGGATTGTAAAACACTATCTCCTAGACAGGAGAGTACCTTATTGAGTCACACGGAGATGACTGCTAATGAGGTGGCAACTCATTTGGCTCGCTATGCTATGTACTTCCACAGAGTGGAGGAATGGTTTACAGATCCACCAGAGTTCCTAAAGCTTTAGATATGTACTCTTGTGGTACTTTTTTTTTACTCTGAAGTGTTTTTCATGTGGTTTTTTCTGAGAAGGTTTTAACGAGGCCATGCGAAACATGCACAATGTTTTCACTTTCTATTGAAATGAAATCTACCTTTTTTTCTAAAACAAAAACAAACAAAAAAACAAAACGAAAACTACATGGTTATTTCTTCATATATATATCATTCAACTACTCTATCTATCTCTATCAAGCCAAAACTAGGCTTAAAAGTTTGCATTTTGTGGCACACTTGAAGCCTCTATCATGTCACGTGGTATTTTCTTTTCAGCTAAATATATTATTAGAGTTTAAAAATAAATATTAATTAATTCTATTGGATATCTGGGACCTAGATTACCCCTATTCAGCGAGAGTTCTATATCAATCCTGTTCTTGAATTTAAAAGATTAATTTCCAAACACAGCAATATCATTATATTTGCAAACGTGTCAAAATCTTGTTCACTCATCTTGAAAATGTCAAAAGCACTTTCTAAACAATTTGCGGGCTCATTTGGAACTGCTTTTCTAGGAAACACTTCTACTCATAAGCGCTTCTAACAAAAGTGTTTTTATCATAAAGTTGTTGAAAATTTCATAACAAATCGACGTGCTTTCTAAAGAAGCACATGACAAGTGGTTCTCCAGAAAGCTATTTTATGACTTAAAATCACTTATAAACTTTTTTGCCAAACGCCATCA